GCGCTAGTTACTGGGAGGATGTGAGATATGCTGCGGTTGTTGGCGGATACATAGCCGCTGTAGCAGCTAATGTCTCGATACCACCTCCTTGCTTCGGTTGGCAAGAGTTGAACGGCAGTCAATGGGTACGCAAGGTTCTTTCTCACCCAAAAAGGAGTGGTCTAAATTTTTGTATGGAACCTACTGCTTTTTTTGAACTGCACGAAATGCTAATTAGTAACGACTATGGGGACTTTGATACACAAGAGGCTTTAGGGATGTTTCTTTGGGCACTAGCAAAACAAGTCGGACAGCGGGACATGGGAGAACGGTTTAAAAGGGGTCTTGGGACGGTTAGCGAGAGGTTTGGTCAAGTGTTGGAATGTGTCGCTAACTTTGCAGACGTGATTTGTACACCTAGGCACGTAGACATGTCAAAAGTGCATGATAGGCCGCACAAGTACACACCTTTCTTTGATGGCGCAATAGGCGCTATCGATGGGACACACATCAGGATCCGTGTTGATAGGGTGTTCTATGATGATTACATAAATAGGCACGATTGGCCTAGCCAAAATGTGGTCGCAGTTTGTGACTTTGATGGGTGGGTTACATTTCTTGGTGTTGGCATGGTGGGGGCAGTGCATGATATGAGGGTCCTTAGGGAAGCTTGGATGAAACCCAGGTTCCCGCAACCACCGCCAGGTTAGTTGCATTTGCTGTTATAAAATTGAACTCGATGTTATCATGGTAATGCAGATGTTTGATGTGCTGATAAATTGAAGGGGTTGTCATGTGCAGGTAGGTACTATCCGGTGGACTCGGGGTATGCAGGTGAACATAGTTATTTGGGGCCACACAAAAGGCACATGTACCATTTGAAAGAGTTTGATGATAGGCCGGCTCAAGGTCCTAACGAGGTGTTCAATTTTCACCATGCTAGTTTGCATAATGTGGTGGAAAGATTATTTGGGGTGATCAAAGCTAGGTGGCACATGTTGAAAGGAGTGCCACACTATCCTAGGGAGAAGCAGGATAACATTATTAAGGCTGGTTTTGCCCTTCATAACTACTTGAAAAAAGATGAAATAACTAAGCCACTCCATCCACTAAGCCCACTGTCAATGCAGTGGCTTGGTGCAAGTGCAAATGATTCCATGGACAATGAGGATGTGGATTACCCATGGACTGACACCTTTGGGGTACAGGTAAGCCAATGGTGCCAGTGGCAAGTTGATGATTACGCGTGCAAATGGACAGGAATTTGACAATTGTCTCTTTGCAGGTGATGGCTGGAGGTGGACGTTGGGGTGGAAGGGGACTGATGGCTGTCATGACGAGTAGACGGCGGCGAGCGGAGCAGTGCATGCGTAAGTGACTATTGTGTTTGTACCATGCTGTTGCTGGTGATTATGTGCCTGAGGAGGGTATAAATTTTGTGTAGCTGCACTGAGGTCATTGGAACAGCTACATGTGTTGTATAATGCTCCAGTAATCCATGTGTACTAGAGTACTGTGTTGCACAAATGTACTAGAGTACGTTGTCTGTCTTGCTGATGAACAGTACCGAGCCTGGTAGTTGTTAATGGACAACTTTGTATTTGTATGAAATGTATGCCTTGTAAATGGTGGGTTCGGTTTACTGTTTATTGGCACCAAATGTGTAGTGATACCTGGGCTGTTGGCGCCAGATTTTGAATGAGCCTGTTGAATTCAAATCAGCCATGATCCAACCAGCCGAACAGGGATCAGCCCACTCCAGCCACTTCCAGCCCAGCCCCAACCAGTCGAACAGGGTGGTTATGTGTGAATCCTACATCAAGGATGTCAAGGTATTATTTCTCTTGCATAGCCATTTTGCTTTGCTTATCCTCTTCATATGCCTGCTGATGAAATTGGGAAAGTTTTTTTTGGTCAAAACTAAGATGTTAGTACTCCATCCGTTCTAAATTATAAGTCGCTTTGACTTTTTTGGTACATCTATTTTACTATGCATCTAGATAAATAATATATCTAGATACATAGCAAAATGGATAAACCAAAAAAGTCAAAACGACTTATAATTTGGAACGGAGGGAGTATTATTTAGACTTTTGATTGTTAATTTAGTTTTCCACTTTCAGTTCTCCACTAAAATCTACTGCAATTCAATTGATAGCTCAAAGCCTCAAATAGGTCATATTGATTCCTTTATTTCATGGGGTATGGTAAGAAAGGATTGTGGTTGATTGTGCTACTGAATACTAATCACCTTATATTTAGTTGCTTCTTGTCATAGTTCATTTCCCCCAGACCCCAATGAATGCTATTGCATGTTGTATATAATTCCACAAGATGGATGAAAAACATGTGAATTCCTAGACACATGGGCAGTTATTTGGTAGACTGGAGTTCGCCCTCCAAATACTATATATGGGCCTTTCTTCAAATGGATTTCACTAATCAGATACTTAGGTCCTGTTTGATCCATGGGGCTAAAGTTTAGCCCACCTCTTTTAGTCACCTTTTAGCCCTCATTGATCCAAACACGAGGGTTAAACTTTAGCCCACCCCTTTTCTATTAGCCCCACCAAAGTGGGTTTAAGAGGGCTAAAAGTGGTCCTATAGGGCAAAAGACGCTGTGCATGGGTATTAATTAGGGGCAAATGGGTCATGGTAGGGTGCATAGCTAATCTTTAGCCCCTGGATCCAAACAACCCAATGGGCTAAACTTTAGCCCCTTCATTTTAAGGGTTAATCTTTAGCCCTAGACTAAACTTTAGTCCCGTAGATCCAAACAGGGCCTTAAACCATACTTTAGGCTCCAATTCCTTGGTGTTGTCTTTTTTATGCAGGTTGAATTGAAATAGCTAGGACAGTTAGTGGAAGACATCCTAGGTTTTTGAAGATCTTAATCTAAGGCTGATGTTAAAGATCCTAGACACAAATGTAATGATAGTTCTGTGATGTATGCATGATTGTGGTGGCCATACAAATTTAAACCGTACTATATGCGGATGCTTCATTACCTGACATGCATCTCTTATCTTGTGCACATTCTTAGTTACTACATAATATATGATTTGTAGGAGCGGCTTTAGAGGCTCTGTAGGGGCGGTTTGCCCAGCCGCCCCTACCAAAGCGCCTCTACAAATCATGTATTTGTAGGGGCGGTTTCCAGACCGCCCCTACAAATCGATTTATAGGGGCGGCTGGTGTTATCAGCCGCCCCAAGGGGTGTCTGGATATTGAGCCGCCCCTACAAATCAATTTCCGGAAATCACGAAAAAGGGGCAAAAAATAGCAAATTTTTTTAATCCGAGGAGGTCCCCACCGGCAACCACACCACCCACTCTATCGTTGTAGCATTGTCGGGCGGGATTCGAACCAGCAACCTCTTCCTCGCGCGTAAACTCCTCTACCACTGCACCTCACGATCACTTATGTCTACAATTCATTTCGGTTCCCCACATATTATACAAAACTGAGCATAAATTTGAATTTCTACAAAGTTGTCAACTACAAAGTTTTATAACTTTTCAAGATCTACAATTTTTATTTTGGTAGTTTCTCCATCCGAGGTCACTTATAAAATTTGAATTTCAAATTTGAGAAATTCGAATGTAGTTTTCCATGACAAGATGATTTCAAATGAGAAAGTTATCAACTACAAAGTTTCATAAGTTTTCAAGATCTACAACTTTCATTTTTACTGTTTGTCCATCCGAGGTCATTTAAAAAATTCAAATTTCAAATTTTTGAAAATTCAAATATAGTTTTCCTTGACAAGATGATTTCAAATTAAAAAGTTGTCAACTACAAAGTTTCATAACTTTTCAAGATCTACAACTTTCATTTTGGTTGTTTCTCCATCTGAGGTCGTTTACAAAATTTAAATTTTAATGCTTAATTTTTAATACTCGGCGTCTATTGGTAGGAGCGGTTCAATATTGAGCCACCCCTACAAATCCGATTTGTAGGGGCGGCCGGATATAGAGCCGCCCCTACAAATCGGGCCATTTGTAGGGGCGGCTGATAACACCGGCCGCCCCGACAAATCCATTTGTAAGGGCGGCTCATTTGGCAACCATTTGTAGGGGCGGTTCAATATAGAGCCGCCCCTACAAAGAAAGAGAGGCATTGCCACAAATCGTTTTTTAAGTAGTGAGTCAATTTGTTTCTACTCCCACTCAGCTCCAGTATAGTCATCTTCTTCATGTCTTGTGTTACCTGCGTGGGAGCATTACTCGTTGTTTGTTCTTTCCACGCTCTAGCTCTTTTCATCTCCAAGCTTACTCTAATGCTACTTGGGCTAGCGACTCTTCCGACCGTTACTCTCTTTCTGCCTATTGTGTTTTTCTTGATGGTTCTCTTATTGCTTCGAAGACTAAGAAGCAAAATGGCTCTTGTGATAGAAGAGGTTACTTGGCTGCGATGGTTACTTGAGGATTTCAGTGTTTCAGTTTATGTACCAACCCCTCTCTTCGCTGACAGTATTGGTGCTACCAGCATAGCTCGTGATCCGGTGAAGCATGAGCTCACCAAGCATATTGGTGTTGATGCTTCTTACACTCGGGCACTGGTGCAAGATGTTGTCATTACTCTTTGTTACGTGCTTTTGGAGCTTCAGTTGGCTGACTTCTTCACAAAGGCATAGACGAGAGCTCAACATTGTTTGTTTATCTCCAAACCCAGTTTTCATGAACCACCGTGGGTTTGAGGAGGGGTGTTAGATGTATATGTTGTCTAGCATATTTCCTTATTGTGTAAGGGCATTTATGCATTATGTCATGTATATACTGTGGGCTTGGGCCCTGTGTTAGATGTGTATGTTGTCTAGCATATTTCCTTATTGTGTAAGGGCATTTATGCATTATGTCATGTATATACTGTGGGCTTGGGCCCTTACTCTACTTATAGTGTAAATATGTAGTCTATATAAGTGAGCAGCTTAAGAGGTCCTCGTGCTTATCAGTCGACGTCGGCACTTCACATTTCATATTATTATTATTGTTATCATCAACCGACGTCGGCACGCATCGATGGGTTATCAGTCGAAGTCGATTGATGGCGATGTGACGGCCCCGATGATGCTACACGGGCGCGTGGCCATTGTCACCGGTGGAACCGGCGGCATCGGCTCCGCCGTGTCGAAGCACCTGGCGTCCCTGGGTGCGCGCGTAGCCGTGGCGTACATCGGCGACCCAGCGCCTGCTCTGGAGCTGGTGAGCACCATCAACAAAAACTCATCATCGGCCGGGCACGCCGGCGCCGGCGAGGAGGGGGAGAGCCAGCAGCCGCGCGCTGTCGCGGTGGAGGCGGACGTGTCGGATGCAGCGCAGGTGAGGGCGCTCTTCGACGCGGCAGAGGCGGCGTTCTGCGGGGAGCTCCACATCCTGGTCACGGCGGCGGGGTTGCTGGACTTCTCGTACCCGACGCTGGCGGAGACCAGCGAGGCGTCGTACGACGCCATGTTCGGCACCAACGCGCGTGGCACGTTCCTGTGCTGCCGCGAGGCCGCGCGGCGGCCGCGGCCGCATCATCACCTTCTCCTCGTCGGGGGTCGGGTCGCTGCGCCCGGGCTACGCGGCGTACGCAGCGAGCAAGGCGGCGGTGGAGGTGATGACCAAGATCCTGGCGCGCGAGCTGCGCGGCACCGGGATCACCGCCAACGTGGTGGCGCCGGGGTCCACGGGCACGCCCATGTTCTACACCGGCAAGACGGAGGAGGAGGCGGAGCGGTACATCGCGGAGGCGCCGCTGGGAAGGCTCGGCATGCCCGAGGATATCGCGCCGCTGGTTGGCTTCCTCGCCAGCGACGCTGGCCACTGGTTGAATGCCCAGGTTCTGCGCTGCAACGGTGGCACCATCTAGCATTCCATGATGCATGCGACTGCATAGTTTATTTATTTTTCAAAAAATGAGTCTGTTCGCTGGTACTGATTTGTTGTGAGAGAAAACTATGATTGGCTGGCTGATAAACCCTGGCTGAAACCAACAAACGAATAGGCTAAATAAATTTAGTCTCCTCTTACGAAAAGATTGAATAAATTTAGTCTCCTCTTATGAAAAGATTTCTATGACCTCGATCTGCAATGACTTCTGATCCATCATCCGGCAGGCAGAGCCGGGGCTTTCAAGGCATTATTAATGGAATCGTTCGTTACAGTGATCCAAAAAACAAAGATCGACAGTCCAACAATTAACTCTGAAAATGAAATGAAATGCATGGTTACAGAGACCAATTAATAATCTCTATGTTTAATGGACTTCTCCATGAAATTGTTTTTTTTTAATTTCTTCTCCATGAAATTGTTAACAAAGCTTCTGGTAAATGATCAGCTCCAGCAAGATACTGTATCTATCAATAGGTTCATCAGTCGAATAAAGAACAATAAAAGATTGTTTTGCTTCATCTGTACTGCTTAATAGTAACTGAGTAGTACTACGCTACCGAATAAACAAACAAAGCAAAATTAAGAAGAAAATATCCTGAAGCTGCTCCTGAACACTGGGCGGGATGCTAAATAATTTTCCAATCATTCAGCGTACGTACAAATGACAACTTGCTGGTAACGGAGGCATCTACTACGCCACAACTGGTATGCTTATATTAAGGGCAGCGGTCGAGTGTTGGATGGCGCATCGACACTCTGATTATTGATAACACAAGTTTTTATCCATACAGCACGATTGTCATGACTATTGAATATAGATCAAATCTTCTACCACTAAAAAGAACAAAACGTGAACACTTTTTTGTGCGACATTTATTTTGGGTCTGCCTCTCCACCCCCTGCGACCGCAACTTCCCCAGCCACCGCGACTTCCCCCGTGCGATCCCTCTCCGCGTCGCCCCTCCCTCTCCCTCTCTCTCCTTCCTCTCGCGATCGATCTGATCCCTCTGGTCGTCGTCCGCCTCCATCGTGCACCGTCCGCCGCTTCCCCTCGCGCCATCCGCCACCTCCACCACACGCCCTCCGCTTCACCCCCGTGCCGCCCCTCCCTCTCCCTCTCTCTCTCTCTCTCCTTCCCTCTCACACTCGGATCTTGCTCAGCACCCGTGCGCTGCGATGGGCCTCACAGCGGACCTCCATGGCGGAGCACAGCAGCAGGGGGACACCGTCGCCGCACCCCGGGAGGAACTTAGGACCCCACGCCTGTTGTTGCTGCTCGGTAAGAGAAACGGGGGTAGTCACGTTCCTCCTCTGATTTTCCTCTGACCTTTAATAGCCCTCATGCAGCTCCCCACGCCGCCCAGCTCCGCAACTCCCCGCACGATAGATCGCCGCCGCACCCGCCATCGCTCCCCGCGCCGTCGCCCTCAACGTCGCCCTCGCCTTTGCGCATGCCGGCACGACGTCTCCACCGTCGCCACGCTCGTCGTCTTGCTGTGCCTCGCCGAGCAGGGTTTGGGGTCACCGGGGGGCGGCACCGGCGGTGGCTACCCAGAGATCAATGACGCCATGGATTGTCCCTCTCCGCTCTTCCTCTTGCCCCGTTCCTCCTCTCACCAGCAAGAACCCACTGCCGGCGGCAAGGAAGCCACCCAGGCTGCCTTCCCGCCCGAGCCCACAAGGTAGGTAATATACCTTCTCTTTTTGCATCCAATGCATGAGGTTTCTTGTTGGTTATTTATTTTCTCTCGTGATTGTTCTTGCTGTATACTTAGTTTCTGATTTTTTTATGCCTCTTAATCTTCTTGATTAAAGAGGCAATGCTATCGGAATGAATTACAGTACCATCCATCAAAGGATATCTGACTGCGTGTTCGCAGTACCCAAGCATGTTGTAAACTAACTTGCCGTGATGGTATTTAATCAAGCAAGAAAATATGTAACAATGCAAAAGAGGGGTTGCTGCTCAGTAATTGAGTTATGCTTGGATAAATGGATACAATGTTCACTCCAGGGAACACCATCTAAATATTTGTGAATGTCAATAATATCAGTAATATACAGAGAAGACTTGTTGAAATAACTGCATTTGTCTGTACAAATCTTGCCTATTGGTTCATACCCCCATGGAGCAAAATAATTATTTAGTAATTACAACATTATTGGATAATGGCCGGCCTGCAAGCATTCCATTTTAGCTGAGTGAATCAACACGTGAATGATTTGTTCACTTTAGGATTGCCGCCAGCCGAGCATACAATGCTAGATTTTGTTGGCATACCAATTTTTTCTGAACTGTAGCCTTAGCAGCAAGTATGGTTTACTCTCAAGCAAAATTAAATTCATCCACATAAAACTGATAATACAATTCAGTGGCATCTAAGCATGTTCTCATCCTATAGCGAAGATGGAGAACCTTCTAAGAACATGTTTGACAGTTATGGATACTATTACCACAAATTCAGTAAAGCTATACTGAATTCCCTGGAGATGCCTGGCAGTATACAATTGAATCATGCGGCTAATAACTTTTGTACAAAGCATATTAGCTGCTTTATGTCTTACCTCATACTGGAGCAACACAAAGAAAAAGGTCATCCACATGTAAATATGAACTTAGGAGCCAAGAGGTTAATATAACATAACATGCATAAGGAATAGATAAAAATACTCATATGAAACGTTGGCAACCCATAATATTTCTGCTCAAACGCGCTTATATTGCAGCAGAAGGAACAGATAAAAAGTAAGATGCTTGATACAATGGTGTAGGTAAGAGATTCAGACAAAAGAAATTTAGAACTGTCATTTTCTGTTAGTAGATGCAGGTGCATTAGCCTTGTCGAGTTGCAGTGATCAAAGGATAATGAAAATTTATATCTTTGTCAACCAAACTATATAGCTCAGAAATCAGGACTGTATTATATTTTTTTCTATTCCGGTAATTTTTCTGTGACCATGATATTGCTGTTAGCATGTTGTGAGCCTGAATATTCTTTCTAAACCTAAATAATGTAGCTTCTATATATTTTTCTGAAAATTGATTATCGCTATGCAAGCTATGACTTCTCTAAAAATGTCACTGTGCAAGCTATGACTTCACTGTGCAAACTGAATGTTAGTGTGATCTTGTTTGCTTCCCTGCATCTCAGACTTATTATTTTTTGCCATTAGTCTATAATAATTTAGCCTTATGTGTCCTTCTTTTCAGATAATGTCAGGTGCTGCAACATACACTCTCCTTCTTTTCTGTCTTGCTTTTCCCAATTAACCATCCAGTCCAAGGCCAAGTACCCTGTCGTGTTGGGCATTTGGGCTGAGAACATTGTGATACAACATTGTTCCACAGAAAGGACGGTAGTGCCAAACAAGAGTCCCTAAAGATTTTAGAAGAGGCAGTAAACCTTTGCTAGAAGATCAGCTGCTAACCTATTTTCATTTCTAACTTACCACCTGTATCTCCGGAAACGAAAACCGGAAATGACAATCCTTTCAACTGTCTGTACTAAAAATAGTATAGAGGTCTGCAAGTATCTCTCTCTACTCCAAAAAAGATTTGTGTCATGTGCACCAACAAAGATAATTTCTTCTTTAATTGTAAACAGGCTGCAGAAATTTAATTGGATTCTTTAAGTTTTTTGCAACAAAGTCCCCACAGATTTGAACTCATCCAAAGATAAAATTGCCATTGTTGGTTACAGGCACATTTGCCTACAGATAAACAACTGTGCTTAGGAAAAGGCACATTTGCTGACATAATTCAGATGCCTGAATCTCATTCAAAAAACCATCTAAATCTGTGTTTCTCCTATAGCTGTGTGTGATCCACACCTAAGAGCCTCATGGTTTGATCTTACATCCAAATTATATGTCATCTCATGATATATTTGTTATTGTGGTATTTTTTTCTACAAGGGAGGAATCAGCTACATTCCAATCTGCCAGGCGACGAGTTCCCACTCAATACCAGAGTCACCAGCAACCCCTCCTCTCATGCAGGTACTATGGGAAACAGAAAGATGAATGATGTCCTTAATGATCATTCAATGCATTTGATATAAAAAATAGCTAGAGAATAGCAGATTGTAATAATAGGACACTGGAGTTGGGTAATTAGTAGTTGCTTGAATAAATAGATTTCCTGAGTTGTCAACCGCAATATCTAAATGATTCACTGTTTTTTTTCTACTTTAGAAAATGCCCAACTAAATCACTCTGGTTGAACTAGATATGCACATGAAAGCTATTATGCCATGTCAAGTGTACATTCACCGGTAAATATCAATCAGAACACCACAAGTCAACACCATGCATTGAATTAGCATTAAACAGGGTTCAGAAGGTGTATGTGTAGGCGGCACTAATATGCTATTTTAAAGAAGTTGAAGTCATTGTGTTGCATAGACTGGATATTAGAAATCTAAAGAATTGATAAGGCAAAATTATAACAGTGAAGAAGGCTGTTTAACGTTCCATGGAGGTAAAATAAATTTTCAAAAGTTGTCATCTTAGACACCTTTCTCTGCATATATAGTTAAACAGCAGCAACACCGTCCTTAGTTTAAATATTGTTGTTAAGCTTTGCTACTTTGGAGATGTCATAAAAACTGTACAGGCAGGAACATGAATCCAAAGTGTGTATTACTGCATACTAAGCATTTTTGTTAGTAGTATAAACTGTCTATACTAACAATAAAACTATTTTTAGTTAGTAGTTTTTGGACAGATTTAGCATCTTAATAGGATGACACCTCTAAAGACCTTTGTTTTGCATCGTGGAAATATCTTAGTGTTCCTACAGTTCCTAAACTTGTGGAAACAATTAACAAACCTTTTTTTTGCATCGTGTAAGTTCTCCAAGGCCACCGAGTTTCACGACATGGTAATCACATTATTTTGTTCTTAGGAAGTTTTGGATACTCCTTTGCATGAACATATGCATTTTAATTATTTGATCTTACATGTTGGACCAAACTTTCTGATTTGATGGTTGTGATGAAATGTATTGTTATTTCAATCAATTTTCA